GCGCACTGGCGCTGGCCGGGGTGCTGCTGCCGCTGTGTGCGGCAGCGCGGCCACAGTCGGCTCCGTGCCGACCGTCCGGCAATTCTATCCGACCAATCTGACTTCAACTAACATGTTATGACCTAAAATGAATATTAAGCTGAATTTAACATGAACTCACTGAAATGGTTGATCGGTCTTAATACTCGGCCGTGGCACTCGCTACGTGCGAGGCCTACGGCCTCCGGCCGCCTCTCGACCAAAAAGGCAAGTAACTCGACCGATCTAACTGTACTGAACTTAACATGAATAACTAATCGAACATGACCTGAAAGTACACCGAACACATACTGAACATGCGAGGACCGTGGCGAACGCCCGTACGCCGCCGACGGCTACACGCCGTCTCTCGGCCGAATCAACATATTATCCGACAACTACCGAACAACTCAGCATGATTACTATACTGAAACTATTTAAGGGCTATTCACACGAACAGACACGCTTAGAAGTGAAGGTGACAGCCTCGGCCCGAAGCCACTCGATGCTATGCGCGATAGGCGCGGGGCATCGGCTGGGGCCTTGTCATCGACTTTCCTTCATCTTTACACAGAAATCTGATCATATTGGACTTTAAACAAACTAAACTGATCATTTAAAGAATTTTTGTTCGAGAGTTGTCGGTCGGAAACGAAACTTGTTCGGTGATCACTTTACTTAAGCATACATGGACTTAGGTACACTTTTAATCTAAAATTCCGACAATTTATCCGAACACTTCGACTTAACTTGACCTAATCATCAAGAATAGGGACTGAGGAGAGTAATACCTCTTCAATTGCTCGACGGGGAATCGAAAATAGGTCGTGCCTCTTTGTCCTTGAGCTTGCCGTGCGATAGGGCTTCGGTTTTGCCGTGCGATTGGAACGGAAAATAGGAAGAATATGGATGAACTGGCTGCTGTAAAAAGGGATGATATATGCTGAACTTGTACGATCGGTGCTTAAGGGAAGGTGGCGAAATTTTCCCCAAACAACTTCTTATATAGATGAACGGCCGAGGGGATTAGGCTATGTCATGTGGACGTGGCTCTCTCCCAAACTAACACTTGCTTTTGATCTAAGGCTTCATTAATGACTAAGCAACGTCTTTAGTTAGCAAATGGCACTCTTTAATTGGATGATATTTCTTTCCCTTGTGCTAAGGAAGCTCACGGCTTTTGTTTTTAAATTTGGGAAAATTGCTAAGTTATGGCCATTAATATATCAAGTCACGGCAATTAGGGCTTGCAACATTGAATTGTGATTAATTAATGTAATTAATCACTTATCTTTATGTTTAATTATTAATTAAACATAATACTCAATTACCAAAATTATTTCGAACGTAAACGGTACGCCGAAAATAGATTTCGGTAATTCCGACTGAACTTATTAAATTCCAAAATAATAAACGATAACGTTACTATATCGGAATTAAACGTAATTTATACTGATAATATCTCGGGATATTACATGAGCAACAGTCGATACACCATCCCAGAGTCAGCTCTCTAAAGGCTAGAGTTAGAAGTGGTTCTAACAACTGAGATAACCATCTCATAGACTACAGGTTAACATTCATATATTGATTATCAAGCCAAGCATTTATATAAATTAACATACATGGTAAGGTTTATCAACACCCACCTGATCAGTTGCAACAGATTAATCACACGATCGATTGTAGATGGGCTGAGGCTCGACTCCTCAAACACCTATAATTAAATCAAGATAATATTTCAAAAATACTTATCTTGAAAGTCGGGAATTCCAAACGAGAATTCATACTTAGTCGAAAAATCGCTGACTAAGTAGCTCGTGGAACTTTGTGGAATTCGGAACACTTAACTAAAACAAATAGACTTGGAAAAAACATTTAAAAGTATTAAGAATAGACTCGGCACAAAAAACCGGTTAACGAGTCAAAAGGTAGGTCAAATGACTCAGGAAAAACTAAAACTGCGTTCAACCGGGCGCTGCCCCATTGCCGTTGGTAAAGCCTTCGAATGTCTTAGAGAAAGGAACGGGTCAAAGAAAGGGAGAGAGGAAGAGACGTCAAAGGGGCTTTTTGCTCGAAGGAGCTGGGCACTGGTAAATAATAAGGACCGAGGCTTTTGGAGCTTGGCTTGGGGCAATGACTTGAAATTTTAACCACATATAAAGGACTAAAACATACATTAACACACCAGAGGATGAACCTTAAATCAACTCCTAACCAGTTCAAACAATTTTTACAAAAATGAGGCCAAAACGAATTCTGGTTCAACTGGCTATAGTTCGAGTTTTCCTATGAAATTTTGATACAATGACAAACACTCTGAAAGATTCAAAATCTATGAGGTTCAACCCATTTTAACAATTACACTATTTTATATAATTTTTTGAAGAAACAACCCAAAACAAGAATTACACAGATCACATAGCAAACATGTTAGTTTTAATCTAACATTTTAACACCAAAGACATAACCAACAGAGAATTCATCCATTCAAATTTCGCACCAAATGTTAAAGTATTCGATTTTCAACGATTTTTCCAAGATTCAGCAGCAGACTCGATTTTAAAAATTCATAACTCGATCAAAACACATCAAAACAGTCCAAGGTCTTCACCATTAGACCAAGGACATACCCAAGTTCCAAAATCTACAGGGGTTCCACAAAATTAAACGAGATTCAGTGGTTTCTTCATTAAATCGTTTGAATCTCAACAAATTTCACATAATCATTCACTTAAACATCAATACACGTAGTGAGATCTACATAGATCTTCATGAAACACATCATATCAGAGGGATAGCCATCCATTACCTTTCAACATATGGGAGAACAAACAAATGGAGTGAAAGACTCGGATTTGGGTTCCTCGGGCGGCTAGGGCTCGGCCTCGGCACAGTGGCGCGAGAGATGGCTGGGGATGGTTGACGGCGACTGATGTTGACCGTGGACGACTCCTCCACAACCAGGGACCTCCGAGAGTGCACGAACAGAAGGTGGAGCACCGCGGCTTGCAAGGGTCTCGCGAAGGGGCGTTTCTCAGCGGGTGTGGGCGCGCGTCGGAGAGCAGCGATCGAGAAGGGTTCGAATAAGGATGGCGATGGGATTTTTGTGTGCTTTCTCTTCAAAATTCAGACCAGAGTGAATGAGAGAGGGAGAGGGGCATGAGTTTCAAATTTTTGAGAGGGGGTGGCGACGTTAGAAAGAGTGAAGAAGAGAGAGGGTTTAAATAGGATGAAAAAATAAAGAAATCTAGGCTACCAACATACCATATAAACACTATTAGGGGTTCTTCAACTCCTAGGGCCGGGTTTTAGGGGCACCAAGCGGGCTGAGATGGATTACAAAGGGTCGAAGATAATACTACTTGAGGTTAAGGTTGAAACGGCTCGAAAACGAATTAAAATAGATAAAAGTTCGGTTTACGCGATTAAACCGAAAATTACCGAAACAATTTAAATAAATCCTATTCAAATAAATTCTAATAATTCTAACACATACGTAATTAAATTGAACGATCATATAATCATCACATAGAAAATAAGTATATAAGCAGATAAATAAGGCAGACAGAGGCGAGCAGTTTATAAACAATAATCGAGCAATTAATATAAAGCAAGGGTAATAACCAAATATAAAGCAAATAAATAATCATATAAAATCCGGTAATTTCTAATAAACGAAAGGGGCACTACAGTTAGACCATTTGGGCTCGACCTGGGCGCGTTGAACATGTGTTGGGCCAAGCTGGAGGAGGCTTGGATGCGCAATGGGCCGCACATGGGCTGTTGGGCCACGGCTAGGCCTCTGAGCCATGGATGCACGCATCATGGCCGGGCAGAGGGTACAACAGGAGAGGCGGCTGAGGTCGGGCCACTCGTGGGCTTAACGCGGGCCACCCACGAGCTGGACAAGGGCTTCACGCGGGCTCGGGCAGGCCGAATAATATGAGGGCCATGGGCAGCGCGGGCTGGACGTGGCCTGCGTGTTGGAGCGCTTGGAAGATGGGTCGATGGATCTCTTACTGGGCCACGAACTGGGCCGCAGACACCTGGGGCCTCCTCTTCATTCTGGACATGGGTTTCGCAGGGGCTCGAAGAACACCTGGACTGGGAAATTGACCTACGCGTACGGTGGTTGGAGCATGCAGGAAATATTTCGCCGGCCAAACCTCATCGGCTTCGATGACGATAACAGGCCAAGAGTGCACCTCAGTGCGAAGATGGCAATGGTGTCCTAGGTTCGAAGTGGAGTACTGAAAATCGCAGAAAAGTTAGAGAAGATGACCAAAGTTAACAAGAAATCTCTTAGATCCAAAATCTTTGACCGACAAAATTGACGGCCTACCCGATAGAATTTTTGCTTGAAATTTTAGGAGGAGGACGAGCACGAACAAAGCTTCATGATGATATAAAAAAATTTCTGATTGGACGACTTAGGTCGGCGGTGGTCGGGCGAAGATAAGTAGTTGTAGATTCGCCTCGGCGAGAGGATTCTGGTGGTACCCTCAAATTTTAGATAGTCCTCACGGATCGCTAGGAAAATAGATTTGAAGGTATGATGTTGACAAGAATTTCTTAGATGACGGTCTTCCCAGTGGAATTTCGCATGAAATTTTAAGGGGAGAATCATCTCGATGAGATATACCCGGTGACATAAAAGAAATTTCAATCAGAGAACTTTTTCGGGCGGCCGGCGGTGGAGGTGGTGGTTGGTAGCTACGGCGGTGGCAGTGACCAATTGAGATGAAGGAGATTGCTGGAAATTTTTCGAAATTTTTCGGTTGGAACTCGTTTTCTATGGTCGATGCTTTGGCTTTTTTTGCAGTTTCCACAGATGATGACAATGGTAGTGCAATGGATTTCACCCGAACTCTTTCAACACGGACGATATCCATACCTGCAAGAACCAAATGCCAGGAGGGGTCCCGACGTCTGTACTCCAATGTCTAAATCAGTACTCGCCATAGATAAAGAGGGTATAGTAATGAATGTGAAGAGAATGAGGTTTTGGGATACCTTAGCCTCTTTTATATGGGATAGGTTCCTTAGTGCCCAAGTTGGACTTGGCCAATACCATTATCCCATGTGTCCTAGTCCATATGTAGGCTTAATCTATAATATATTCATTCTTATCCATTAAACCGGTTTAGTATAATATCTCATATCAGAATATATATTTTTCACTTCTTTATTTTGATACAAATATTTAACTTTCAAGTTGCATGTGATGTTCATGGGAGTTATTAACTGTCTAATAAATTAATTTTTGATTTAATAAAAAATAAATATATATTAAATAAAATATATAATACTTCATAAAAATATTTTTTAGAATTCAAAATAATATTAAAAATTATTTTCTTATTAATTATTTATAGTTTTTTAATAAACAATAAGAATTACATTTTTTTTTTTACTTTTTGTTGCACATACTTTTTTTAAACACTCGTGAACTTAACGGGCGTTGTACTAATGGGAGATGAATCATTTATTTATTTAAAAAAAAATGGACAAAAAAAAATAAAAACTTGTGGACAAAAATCAAACACACGTATTGTCATAATACGTTTTTCATTGAAGAACGTATTCCAAGAATACGTTTTACATACGAAAACGTATTACGGGAATACGTTTTAGTTTTAAAATGTAATTAAGCTAATTAATCTTAATTAACATAAATTAAAATGGATACCTAAAATACGTTTAAATATTCAAACGTATTCTGATAACACGTTTTAATATAAAACGTGTTTACGTAATACGTTTTTTTTATTAAAATTAATTTCAGAGTTTATGAAAAATATTTTTTGCAAATTTTAATTTTCTGAAAATGTTAAACGTATTTTGAAAATATGTTTTTAATGGAAGCGGCGCTAGCAAGGTAGCGCTGGAAGGCACCTTTTCTCTGTTGGTCTGAAGCGGCGCTAATGGCAGGAAAGCGGCGCTAAGGGAAAACGTATTACGGGAATACGTTTTTTCTGAAAAAAGGTATTCCCATAATACGTTTTAGTTTTCAGAAAAAAAATAAAATAAAAATTACAATATAAACTTGTTCAATCAATCAACCTGTCCAATATACACCTGTTCAACCAACTCATATCTATCAATTCGCCAAAGAATAATCAAACGTACACTATATAAAAAACAATCAACCACAATAATTTATTCAAGAAACACTATATAAAACGTAAAAGGTCAAAATACGGTTTTTAAATACAAAACAAATATGTCTACAAAGTTCATACTACAAAATACAGAAACTAACTAGGAAGGAGTGTGTGTATCCGGAGGTCTACGCTGTCAGGACCCCTTCCTAGGAGGCCTTTGTCCTGAAGTAGACGAGGTTGCGGTCGTGATAGGTGTGGCAGTTTCTTCTTCTTGACCTGAGTAATTAATTTTTTAAACAAATTGGAAATTCGACTGGACAAAATAAAAAAAAAATAAAACAAAATAAAAAAGAAACATTTTTTTATGAAAAAAAAATTATCACCTTCTTCGTCGTCCTCAGACACAGTGTTGCCAGCGGGTTCGCGGGTACGGCGTCTTCG